ATATCAAGTCTTATTATATCAAGTTATATATTCTCTATTGCATATTTAAGTTTCAATTGCACTCGAGCGAATTTAAAATTTTATTTTATTAAGCGTGCAGAAAATATTATAAATGATAATTCAATATATACATCGTGACAAATTATATAATAAAATAACTAATGATTGGACGATTTATATTTAATAATGAGAAACTTTGTTTTAATTCGTCGAGGGATATATTAATATTTCTTATTTTATTAATTACGTCCAAGTCTTGCGTGAATAGTTTTTTTTCACGAAAATGTGCAGTATCAGGGTGGCAATTTAAGTTAAAAAGAATGATAGAAAACAGACCTTGAGATGGATGTAAATTTCACATTCTGTGGTTCATTGAACTGCCTTCAAATGGACAAGGGGAGTAAAACAAGGTAAGTTTTACTTTTTTTCTCTGACCCTTCTCATTCTTTCTTCAGACGTTAGCCATTAATAATTTGCGTCATCGTTTACCGTAGCTAATTTGCGATTCTTTTTTAATTTTTAGTTATTTATTATATGAGCAAAATATATTAAAACTATAATTGCCATATAATTTTTTCAAAAATTTCTGAATATATATACGATATTTTCTAAAATGTCATGTATCTTTGAATGGAATATAAATTGTTCAAATCAATGGATTCCTCTTAAGATTTTAAGTTTTATTTTCCTGTTTTTTTTTTTTAAACAGATAATATTTTCCAAAATCTCACGATATTTAAATTAATTAACAATTAATTGATCGAAAGAAGAAAGAGTTAAGCTATTGTTATTTTAGATATTTTAAATTTCTCAAAATACCGAAGAATTATTTATATGGTTAAAGGAATTAGGACACAATCATTGATCTTTCTGTTTTATAAAAAAAAAAAAACACATTTATTGTTAATGGTTATGTTTGAAGAGAATTTTTATAATTCATTTTTAATGACTCACATTTAATTGCAAACTGTTGTACTCCTAATGAAAAAAGGAAAAAATAGTCCGTTGTTATTTTATACACGATTACACGAAAATCATTTCGAGCAACGATTAGATCTATTTATTATTCAACTTATATATAGGATTAGAGAAACTTGTTGTAGTGCCAAGTATTCATTTTCCTTTCAAAATCTAATTTGAATATTTAAAAGATTTATTTTTTTCTTTTAAAGATTGATTTATACCAAGTATTAAGATACAGTTATATCAAGATTTCCACCTGATATTCTGTGAGAGAAGGCCAACGATCTCTTTTGATGATCAACATTTGATCCATCAATTGATAAACGAATCTGTAAATTGTATTCGACTCTTATGATGCATAAAATTTGGTTCAAGATCTTATACTGAGGCTACCATTGGATGTTTTTTCCCTTTGAATGTGAAAACCGGTTGCGTGAGAGCTGCTTTTTATTGTATAGCTATAATGTATTAAGACATGCCATTAAGTCATTCTTTTTTTGATTTCTGAATCTTAGGAGAATCAAGAAAGATGCTGTGATAAGAATATTTTCAAACAAATCGTATAATATTCTCAGCGTGAAATTAATGGATGAAATTCAAACGTCTTTTGATAATGATTTTTATTAACAATTTATGGAAATTTTACTGACGATTAGATATTATTATAATATTGAAAAAAAGAAGAAATATTATCATATTTAAAACAACTACGTATGTAATCTCGTATAATTATTGTATGAAATAATTATTATTCTGTATTGATATATTATTGGCTGTAAAAAATCTTTAATAGACATCGATTGAAGAACCAATAATTGACGTCAGGGCCAGTGTCCCGCCACAAGGTCGTATATTCTCTCATGGTCGCCACAGTGTCTACATATGCTATTGGTGATGGATGCATATATTAGAGTTCCAGTAGAAGGTAGCAAATTTATGAATCGTATATAAACTTATGTAAATTTTACAAAATATATGGGATGCTTGTTACTATTTAAAGTGACAGAATTAGAATGTCAGAATTTTATCAGATAAAAATATGTTGATCGACGTTTATAAGTTAAGTTTTTTTTTTTTTCAAAACAACATATAGATAGTTTAAAAATTTACTGTATGATACATAAACAGAGTTCCATCTTTGTAAATGGATGATAATAAAAATAACTATAAATTAAAATTCCAATATCAAAGAAACGTTCAAACAATTTAGAAAGTTTACTGTGTAACATAATAATGATTTCGGAATGATCTCCAAATGATCTCCAAGTGATTTTAATAGCTTCAAATGATCATAAGAGTAATTTAAGCTAGGTCAGATCGTCTTATATATAATAGAGGTTAAATAAATCTCGAATAAACAATTTATTGATAAATGAATTTGAATGAAAGGAGCAATAAAAACTCGCAATTTATAAAACGTACTAATATAATATTTATTGTTTGCAATAAACAGCGTAATATAATATCACCTCTGGCACAATCTCACGATGGCAAGACAACGCGAAAACGGTATTATATTTCGATATTCTCGCATCATTTTTATCTGATTCCGCAACTTGTCCGGCTTCAAGATCCTCTAACAAAACAGTACGCGCGCATCAGCCCGAAATCGGCCGGTTTCAACATTCCTCCTCTTACACGGGTACATTTCTAACAAAATAAGGCGAAGCCTGTCGATTCGTTTCGCATCGCCGTTTATGTCGCTTTAAGTACGATATCGAGACGGCTGGGAAACGATCACGAGAAGACCACATACTCGCTTCATGTTGTTGCTATGCGATATGTTTCTAAATAACGCGTTAACACGAGGAAAGGGAGAAGAAAAGAAAGGAAAAAAAAAAAAGAAAAAAAAAAAAAGAAAGAAGATACAAAAAAATGATCGATTTCAACGATCAATCTTCTACTCTACTCTAATGTTTATTCACCGGTCTTCTAATCGCGATTGAGATCTCCTCGTGACTGTAACACGGCTGCCTTTCATAATATATCATTAATCAATAATATTAATAAACGTAAAGGATTATAAGGGATGATACGATAGCAAATAAAAATCGTTCATCGGCAAAATCGTTCTCTAATGCACACATGATGAATCTCTTGCGAGATCTGCATCTGTAAATAACGAAGAAAATATAGTTAGGCGATCGAAAAGGGTTTAGGGTGGATAGTTATTATGATGTAAGATTGTTTGATGAAGTTGGAAGTTGGGCTAAGGGGAAAATATCGATTACGAATAAAAAAAAAAAAAAAAAAATAAAAATAGTCATGGAGTAACACTAACAAATTTTCGGACCATCGTTGGACACGACTCTCTTTTTTTCAAGCATACTGATTATTTCTTGCATTCATTCTTATACTATCGTTCTGCCTTTTTCTCTCCTTCCTCCCTTTTACCCTCTGTTTACGATTTTTTTTTTTTATTCTCATTCTCGCACCATGAATATACACGCATTCCTTGTATAAAAAATAATAATTATTATAATAATATACGTATTACGTAGCTCTAGTCAATAGAATCAAATAATATTAATAATATCAAACTATATGCTGTCTTGCAGATAGATGTAACAAAATATAGTACTCGTATAATAATATGCATTTTACAAGCGTATTTTGATCCTTGCTTTGATATTGGTGTTGTGATACATGTATAGGACGTGTATATGTTATTAATTATCCATTCTTCTTTTTTT